TACTCACGTCAGCCTCCCAAAGGCGCGGGATTACAGGCTGAGCCACCGAGCCTGACTTCTTTTTTTTTTAGTTGGAGTTTCACTCTGTTGCCCAGACTGGAGTGCAGTGGCACGCTCCCGGCCACCGCAGCCTCGACCTGCTGGGCTCTGGTGATCCTTCCACCTCAGCCTTCCAAGGATTTGGAACTACAGGTGTGTGCTACCACGCCCGGCTAATTTTTTTGATTTATTGTAGAGATGAGGTCTTGCCAAGTTGCCCAGGTGGATCTTGAACCCGCGGGCTCAGGCAATCCACTCACCTCAGCCTCCCAAAGCGTGGGATTACAGGCTGAGCCACTGAGCCCGGCTATAAAACTAATTCTTATGAGTTCATTACATATTTTGAGTATCAGTCATTTGTTGCTACAGTATGGGGTTAAGTAACCCTGGCTGTGCTAACAAAAAACTTCACATCTCAATGTTTCGCTACAGAAGCAAGTTTATTTCTTGCTCACTTCATAAAGGGGACTTGAAGGTCTCCCAGAGAACAACTCAGGGATCTGGTGCCTTCCTTCAGCATGTGGTTCTGCTGCTTTTGAGTCCTTTTCTTTCAGTCACATACAGGAGGCCAGGCCTGGAAGAGGCATCCGTCACTTAAGCTTGTATTCATTGGCCAGATTCCAGTCCCATAGGCCCTCATGGCTGCCAGGAAGCCTGGGATTTGTAGCCTTCCTTTGTTTCCAGCAATTAAATGAAACAATTTTGTGATGACAGGCATGTGCCTGCCACAGTTGGCCCAGGAGTGTAACATCATCTTCCTATTTGCTGCGTATCTTTTCAGTTCTTTTGATGAGCTGATGTTCTGAATTTTAATATGATCAGAATGATCAACCTTTTCTTTATGATTTGTACTTTTTAACATCTTGTTTGGGAGTTACTTTTTTACCCTGAAATCATACAGCTATTTTCCTGTATTTATTTCTAAAAGCTTTAAAGTCTCACCTTTCACACAGAAGTCCTTGATCCATCTGAGAATTTTTTTCAAACAGTTGAGGTACAGATCCATTTTAGTGCTTCCATATGGATAGCCAATGGTTCCATCACCATTTTCTGACTATGTCCCTCATCCTGAACAGGCAGTGTCAGCATTGGTATATGTTAAGCTCCAAGCCTGACCTCCTAAAGGCTCCACTTCCTCATATCATCAGATTAGGGGTTAGCATTTTAACACATGAATTTTGGGGGGACACAATCGCTCAGTTCATTGCATTAATCATCCCCAACAAACTCTGTACCCATTAAACAATAACTCCCATCTCCCTTCCCCCAACTGCTAGTAACCACCATTTGACTCTATGTATTTACATATGCATGTATATATGATGTTGCTATGGGTTTTGCCTATTCTCTGCATTGCATATAAATGAAGCCATACAATATTGTGTCCTGTGTATTGCTTATTTCACTAAGCATCATGTTTTCCAGGTTAATCATGAATCAAAATTTCATTCTTTTTTATTGCTGAATAGTATCCTATTGTAGATACTATATACCATATTTTGTTTATGGACACTTGGGGTGTGTCCACCTATGGTTATCAAGAATAATGCTATCAGCATTCATATCAACATTCATGTACAGATATCTGTCTGAGTTTCTGCTCTGAATTTTTTTGGATCTATATCTCCATTGACTTTGTAGATGGATCTTTTATGTGACAATCTTGCTAAACTCTTAGTAACTTCAAGAGTTTGTAATTATTTTCACATTTCTATGAAGATAATAGTATCATCTCCTAATAATGACAATTAGGATTTTCCATTCTAATCTTATATATTTTATTCCTTGTCTTACAACACTGACTAGAAACTCCAGTTCAGTGCTAGACAGAAGTGGCGAGAGCAGGCATTCTTGCTTTTGATTTTAAAGGGAATCCTTTTCAACATTTAACCCTAAGGTATAGGTTTATTTATTCATTTATTTTGAGTTGGAGCTGCACTCTGTTGCACCCAGGTTGGAGTGCGGTGGCATGCTCACAGCCGTTGCAGCCTTGACCTGCGGGGCTCAGGTGATCCTTTCATCTTACCCTTCCAAGAAGATGAAACTACAGGCACATGTCACCACACCCAGCTAAGTTTTTGATTTATTGTAGAGATGAGGTCTTGTCCAGTTGCCCAGGGTGGTCCCGAACCCCTAGGCTTAGACAATCCTCTTGCCTCTGCCTCCCAAAGTGCTGGGATTACAGGCATGAGCCATTGTGCCTGGCAGTTATATAATGTTGTTATAGGTTTTGGCAGATATTCTTGATCAGGTTAAGAAAATTCTATTATGTACCTTATTTATGAAGAAATACTAATCACGAATGAATCATTGAATTTCAGCAAAAGTATTTTCTGCAGCGTTTGCGATAACATGGTGCTCCTTTCCTCCTTAAGTCTATTAATGTGATAGGTTACATCTTTTATTTTTCTTAGAGAAGGGTCTCACTCTGTGGCCCATGCTGGAATGCAGTGGCATGACAGCTCACTGCAGCCTCGAATTCCTAGCTTCAAACAATCTTGCCACCTTGCCCTCCAAAAGTGGTAGGATTACAAGCGTGAGCCACCACGCCAGCCAATTACATCAACTTTGAACCAAATTTGCCTTCCTGAAATAAGCCTGATTTGGTCATGTTATATGTTTTATGCACTTTTGAATTTGGTTTGCAAGTCTTTTGTTTAGGACTTTTGCACGTATGTACATGAATGATACTAAATTGTAATTTTGATATCAAGATTATACTAGCTTCATAAAGTAAGATGGAGCATATTTCCTGTTTGTTTATCTTTAAGTCTATAAGATTGAGGCTGTTTCTATTTTCTTGTTTTTTAGAGTCAGGGTCTCAGTCTATCACCCAGGCAGGGGTGCAGTGGCATGATCAGAGCTCACTGTACCTCTGACAGAGTTGTTTGTTTCTTGAACTCACTTGTAACCCATCTGGATTTGGTGCTCTTTTGGGCAGACTGTAAACTATCAACACAATATCTTTAATGGGTATAGGAATCCTTAAACTATTTCACCTTGAGTTGGTTTGGTAAGTTATTTTTCTTCTAAGAATCTGGCTACTTCATCTGAGTTCTCACATTTACCAGCACTGTGTTATCTCATCTTCTCAACCTCTGATGTAGCTGAGCCTGTCCTCCCTTCTCATTCCTAATGGTTTATTTGCTCCTTTTTTTCTCAGTCGTTTTGCCAGAGGATGTCAATTTTAATACTCCTTTCAAAGAACCAACTTTCAGAATCAACTTTTTGTCTTCTCAATGGTGTCTATTTCCATTGTTATTAATAACAAATTTTATTAATTTCCTCCTTTCTACTTTGAGCTTATTCTTCTGTTCTTCTTATAACTTTAAAATCATGTGCTTAGCTTTTCCCCTGACAGTAACATGATATAAGCCCTTAAGGCTACAAATTCCCCTTGGCTATCGCTGCCCCAGAGGTTCTGGTAAGTAGTATTATCATTTAGGTTTAAGTATTTTTTTTATAACTTTCATTATGTTTTTGACTTGAGTCATTTAGAAGGTTTTCTTTTTCCTGGAATGTGAGTTTCATTTAAACAACAATAAAACACCAAAACAGAGATTCACCTAAAAGAGTTGGCTTCAGTACTTGGTGGTGTTGTGATATCATGATAGTTAACTCAAAAGAAATGAGAAATAAACCCATTTGTGCCAAATGATGGGGCAAAAAAGATAGACTGATTTTGGTTTGGCTGTGCCATTTTCCTCATAACCATAAACTGTATTTTTTTGTTGAAATTCTAAGGGCATTTTAACAAAAAGGTATCTTTTGCTGTTATTTTCCATACTGATGCTGTTCAAGTCAGCTCCTGTCTTTTCCTTGGAGAAGTATTCAAGGCCATCCACGTGCATGGCCACCCTCCATGCATGTGAACAAGTATCTGCTCTCATTAAGAACACTAACACACGAGAAGAGCTAACACTTTGTTAAACAATTAGTATGAACCAGAACCAGCACCATAATTAGGACTTCACATATCAAGTTTCTGAATTCTCAGCAACCTTGAGATTAAACACTGTCAGCATTCCCATTTCACATCTGAGGAAACCAAGGCAAAAGTGCTACAGCTCCAGAGTAAGAGATCAACTCCTTAATTCCTGACTTGAGAGCTGTGCTCTTCACTACCTTCCTTCTTCCTAGAAATCAAAGACAACAATTACAATGTGTTTTTTTCTCTCCTAAAAAACTGGCAAGGATTAGGAACTCACCTGCTCACTGCTGGAGAGGCAGAGGCAACCTTGCCATCTGTGTGCTGTTGCAGGCATCTATGTGGGCACAACCTGGGGTGCAGGTATTTGGCAATATGTCATTCCACATCAGGGATCCATCCTAAATGTGGAAAAGATGTTTATTATGGCATTATTTATAAAAACCAGAGCTGGAAATAGCCTATGTGCCCATGTTAGGAAATGGTTAAGTCAACTATGACTTTTCTATTCAACAGGCCATTATGCAATCACTAAAAGTAATGCTGCCCACTGGTAATAACAGGAAAAATTATCACGCTATAAGTAAAATCAAACCAAATGCAGACAATACCAGGTCGTGTGTGTGTGTGTGTGTGTGTGTGTGTGTGTGTGTGTGTGTGTGTGTGGTGTGTGTGTGTGTGTCCTAGACAGCTGTGTCCACACGTGCCATCCCCCCTGGCATATCCAAACAGCAGAAGATGCCTACTCTAAGCAGCTACTTGCCCCTGACCAGTGGTTTTTTTTCCACTTTCTGCATTCAGGTTTCTTGACTTCCTAAGCCACTCTTCCCTGTCAACATTAAATTCCAAAAGACTTTAAGAAGTAGAGAAATGTCATGATGATAGGGAGTAAATTCTCACATACCTTTCATTGAGAACAGGGATTGTGCCCACAGGCCAAATCCAGCTGGCCTCCATATCTGCAAATAAAGTTTTATTGGCACACAGTCACGTTCATTTATGTGCCATCTACAAGTGCTGTTGCCCTACACACCAGACCAGAGTGTTGTGATACAGACTATATGGCTGCAAAGTCAAGGATATTTACTATCTGGTGCTTTATAGAAAGGGTCTGCCAAACCCTTTCCAGATTCACGGATGACTGACATTTAGCTAATTTGCTTTGTCACTCTCCTATAATCCATACACGTGTTGTTATCATTTTTTGCAGAACATTTCAGAGTAAATTGCAGACATCATGACCCTGTGCATCTTTTGTAGGGAGGACATGTGCACGGATGACCCTGGTCTATGATGAACTGACTGCAACTACACCTGCTAGACAGCCCATGTTCCAGATTTGTTGAATGTCCTTACAAAAACACTTTCAACCTAGGATCATACATTACATGTGCGTCTTCTACATCAACTTTGACATGTGCTTTTGACAAATTTCACCTTATCAGGGGTCCATTTTTGAGACTATGAGACTTCCTCTCCTGGTAACAGCTGCCTGAGGCTATCCAATCTGATAGCCCTCCAGGAATGACCACATAAGATCTTTGCATAGGCAGGGGGACACACTCCAGAATGTTCTGCCCTGTAGAGGGTCAGTACAGGCTGAGGTCTACCTGGAGCATCCAGAAGCAGTCTAGGTGAGGCCAAGGCTGACTCCATCTGCCTCCCCTTACCCCCATGTTGAGAGCACTGAACTGACTGCAGCTCTAGGGAGCCCAACAGAAGATCAGCCTCTCTAGCACAGGCCTGGCAGTGCAGATACAGTCATCACAGAGGCAGGTACATGACAATGTGGAACATGCCGTCCACCTCCCCACTGGGACCACAGGCCACTGGAGAGGAGGCCATAAAGGCTGTGCTTCCAGCAGTGACCACAGTGGCAGGACTGTGAAGAGGCCACAGGTGCCACGGCTCCCCTATCTGAAGGAGACTGAGAATCACCTGTCTATCTGAGCCTGGGGTGGTTCCACCAGTGCAGTCACGAGAGCAGAACACAAGAGCTAGCAGTTGTCTGAGGCTATACAATCTGGGTAGGATAGCCCTCTAGGAATGCCCACATAAGGAGATCTTTGCATAGGCGGGGGACATACTCCAGAATGTTCTGCCCTGTAGGGGGTCAGTGCTGGCCGAGGTCTACCGGGAGCAGTTGAGAAGAAATATACTTTGCATGTATTTTGGGATGTTCTTTAAACCAATCTGTGAGTATGGAGATTGATGCGTTCTAACAGCAGGAGGGAGGTTTGCCATGGGGCCATTTCTCAAGGATGGGGATTTTGTACTCTGTCACCTCATAGCAGTTAAGCTGCTCTGGGCCCATGCCAAGGGCCTGAAATGTTACAGCTTTTAGAAAGACTCCGACAATAAAAATATGTTAACCCAGTAAGCATTTCCACTGTGACACAACTATTCTCAATCATTGGGAGTACAGTGTCCCTCCCTTGGTTTTTGTGACTACTTGATGAACAATCTCATCCCAAGTTCTAACTCAAGACCCCTCTTGCGGGACAGAATCCCTAAAGACTAAGGCCATCATTCGTTTTTTGTGCCAACATATTAGTTTTTTGTGCCAAATGTAGGTGCCAACATTTTGCCAATAAAAGGTGTATTGGGATGTAATGCATATGTACAAAGAAAAAAACCTCAGTGGAAAAAAAAAAAAAAGCTGTATTTCCTCCCGGTCAAAAAAGTCACTTCGCTACCAGCTCTTACAAACCAGTACCTTAGAGAGTATGGTGCCCCATCCAGACCATCCACGGAAGGACACCATGGGTGGCATAACCATGCAAACTTGCCCACTAGAGAAGCGAAACTAACCTGAATGGAGGGCTGGCCCATGGGGGCAGGGTTCTACTGGCCAGGTCCAAAAGCCAAGTGGCAGATGTAGGCTGGATTGAAGCTGCCGTTGGCACCCTGGGGGCCTCACCATGTGGGTGGGCCAGGAATCTCCTTTGGTGGCACCATTCAAGGCCCTGTCCTGAGTGGTCCATCTAGGTAAGTCAGGCTGCCCATATGGGATAACAGCTGGGCCAGGAGGGCTCAGTTCCAGAAGATAGGACTGATGCTCCAGTCTGAGGAGAGAAGCCAGAGAACAAACCATGGAATGGTCACTGAGCAAGGACAAATGGGGTCTTGTATAGTCCAGGGAGCACCTGGGTCTTCAGAGCAAGCTACAGAATACTGCTGTCTAACCTGGGGACTAGAGGGTGAAGAGACCTCAAAGGAGCCTTCAAAGGAGCAGGTGAAAGGGCCCAAGCACAGTGGACGCCACAGGCGGTGGCAGTGGGAGGGGCTGGGCTGCTCACCATGCCAGATACCTCCCCTGCTGGGTACTCTTGGGCATCCCGAGCCTGTCCCACAGATAGCAGTTAATACACCCATCTGTCTCTGGTGCTGAGCTGAGGCATCAAGGAACTCGGAAATGACCCAGAGCTGCAAGGAGCCTTGAGGAGCTTCCATATTATCACAGTGTGTTTACCCAAAGAGATTCTCAGAGCAGAAAGGTCTCTCGCCCCCTTGGACATTCCCACATCTGACAGGGGTGGTTTTCCTGGGGATGACAGGGATCAGCAGCCCAAGGGGCACAGAGCGCATCACACATGGTCCTGGGCCTTGACCAGATGCTGAATGAGGAGGAAGCCATGGAACGGCCACTCGGGGAGGCTTGCACCACACAAATCCCAAGCTCCCCTGAGAACTTCCCCAGTTCAGGGCTTTTTCCGAGGGTGCCGCTTCCGATGTCGGATGAGACACGAGCTGTAAGCGAAGGTTTTCCCACATTCTTTACATTCATATGGCTTCTCTCCAGTGTGTGTCTTCTGGTGTTTCAGGAGATTGGAGCCACAGTTAAAGGCTTTCCCGCATTCCCCGCATTTAAAAGGCTTCTCTCCAGTGTGAATCCTCTGATGTTTAGTGACATCTGAGCTGTGCCGGAAGGTCTTCCCACACTGATCACACTTAAAGGGCTTCTCTCCAGTGTGAACTCTCTGATGGCGAATGTGATCTGTCTTGTGTTTGAAGATCCGTCCACATTCACTGCATTCATAGGGTTTCTTCCTCTGAAAAGGAATGAACACAGGAACCCCCTCAAAGTCATCTTTAAATGAGGCATCGAAGGCATCAAAGATGTGTTCTTCATCTTCAGGACTCAGGTTTGGCTCCTGACTGTGCTTTTGAGCCATAGTGGATCTCTTGATTGGCCTTTTGTCCCCAGACGCTGTCTCTTTTTGAGTGTTTTTCTGTGTATCTCCTTCCTCCCTCAGGGTCTGTGTCTTCTTTTTCCTGCCTGCAGGCTTCTCCATTTTTCTATTCTCTGGAAGTTGTGAGGACCAAAGGGTTACTAACTTCTCTCTTTTGGCTCCACTTTCTCAAAAACAACTTACTTTAAATGTAACTCTCCATTTTCTGAGCGTGTAACTGATGCACTGCACCAGGATGTGAAAGGCCACCATCCTTTTGCTGCCAAAGATAAGCAAAATCATGAACATCAGATTAAACTCATGTCTTTTAGGGGCTACAGAGCTGAGGTACGGGAGGGTAAGTGCCAGGAAGGGGAAGCAGGGAGTGGGGCACGGCCCCTCCTTATATGTTTCCCAATGAGCATCTGAAACCAAATTCTTGACTCCTCAGAACCCCACCCCAACTCACTCTCCCAGCTTCTCCTTCTCTTTGTGAACAGCATCATGCTTGCTTGGTTGCTAACCAAGGAATCCTTATTTCTCTGCCAGGGGACAGGGCCTGCATGCCACATCCAGCAGGATTTGATGTGCACATGGACCAATGATTGCCCTGTGGCTTTCCCTTCCCCAAATCTGCCTTGTCCTTGCCCTTGTCTCACTCTTTCCCCACTGTCCTGTGCTTGGGATTAGTCAATGTGCTTCAGAGCTATAGGCTGCAGGAGCTACAAGAGCCCCATGGAAGGTGTCTCTATCCCCTAGAGCCTGGGTTCCGAGCTGCCCCTGCCACTACGGTCCACAGCAGCCAGTCCACCCCATCAAATCACATCCTGTGCAGATCCTCAACAACTTCCTTCGTACTACAGGCCCTACATGCCCTGCCTCATCAGAGTCCCTCCCTTGGTGACCCCCTTGCCACCCCAGACTTCTTAAGGTTCCCCAAACACACCAATTCCTGTTACCTCCATGCTGGGCTGGCCCCTCACCCATCAGAGCTCTGCTCTGATAGCCCCTTCTCAGAGAAACCCCCAATGATGCTGTCTTGCCCTTTCCTATGCCACTTTTTCTCTCAGCACTTAACATGAGCTAAACTTCTTGGTTTTTGACTAAATGTGGCCTTGTTCCCATTCACCGTGCTATCTACCCTTACACTCTGCAACAGCTCCTGGTGCACAGAGGCTCCTCATTAAATATTTGTTGAATGTCTGAAAAATTGAAACTACAGCTATACGTAGAGCATGTCCCCTGTTCCAAGCACTGAATGACTATCAATATATTTAATCTTCACCTTCAGCACCATTTCCCCAGGTCACATGGGGGATAAGTGGCAGTGCTTGGATCCTGGCGCAGCCCAAGCTCTGAAGCCCAGGCTAGTTCCCATCTAGACTTAGGGCCGAAGCCCCAAAGAACTGAGCTAAGATTCTGCTTGCACTGTCTGAATATTATCCCATGAAAATGTCTCTCCTAAGCTCTCAAAGGGAAGGGAAAAATCTGGCTCTGTGCATGATTCCATCTAATGGCATCCCAATCTTACCACAAATTCAAACAAGAATTTGTCAATCCCAGTGACAGGAAGTGACAGGTAAGGCCCAGGTGTTCATAGGAGCATCACCCTGCATGGCCCACATTTCACTTATAGAGAATCCTGCACTGCTGTTTCTTCTCTGCATTATTTCTGAGCTTCTTTGACCTGCCTTTTATCTCAGTGCTAACTAATGAAATTCCTGCATAAAGCCTTGCAAAACTTCAGGTTCTCTTAGCTGCTAGTGAAAGAAATCGCCTCAAGATTAGGAGAAAGTACTGTTTCCTTTGCAGCTCCAAGGAAAGCAGATCATGTTTTGACTCCTCGAAATATTCTTGCAGAAGGCATTCTTAGCAAAGAAGCCTCATGTCCTGGGATGGCTACTCATATCCACTAAGAGGTCCAAACTCTGCAGGTGTCTTACCCAAAAACGTAGTGTTCTAAGGAATAATATTCCATGTTATTTGTACTGGTTCTTGGCCAACCAGGTTGGAGTTTGAGGCTGGGGTCAGGCTTTAGCAGGAAATGTGGCTGAGACACAAGTCCTAGGTGACACATTTTAAAGTACAGATACTGCCGGGTATGGTGGCTCAGTACTGTAGGAGGTAGAGGACTGCCTGAGCTCAGGGGTTCAAGACCAGCCTAAGCAACATGGCAAGACCTCATTTGTACAGTAACTAAATAAATAAACAATTAGCTGGGTGTGGTGGCACATGCCTGTGTTTCCAGCTACTTGGAAGGTTGAGGTAGAAGGATCACCTGAGTCAAGCAGGTCGAGGCTGCGGTGTCCATGAGTGTGCCACTGCACCCCAGCCTGGGCAACAGAGTGAAAAAAGCACAGATACTTTTAATTGTTAGGTCAGGATGGGATGTTTGACCTTCCTTCTTCTCTCCCATGCATGCAGGTAACAAACTGTGTATAGATTTCCTGTCTCAACAAGGAGTTTGAGAGTCTGGTCTTTTTAAAATGAAAATGTTTAGATAAACTTGATTCAGGCCAACATCACTTTCTTTTTCTATCTTTTTTTTTTTTTTGGAAACAAGATAGTCTGTCGCCCAGGCTAGAATGGAGTGCAGTGGCATGATCATAGCTCACCATAACTTCATAATCCTGGGCTCAAGTGAGAGGCCAACGTCACTTTCTAGGGGCTCTATCTGGAGGTAGCTTCTGGGAGGAGGTAGTTCTCAGCATCAGGTGGAAGCCAGAACTGAAGATGAAGGCCATATGGGCTGAGGGGAGGTCACAGGAATAAGGCAGCATCTTTGCTTGGGGAGTGGGCGGTTTCCTGGTGACCTGGGGCAGAGGATCACAGCCCAGTCAACCAGGCTGGAGTTTGAGGCTGGGGACTAGTTTTAGTAGGAAACAAAAGTGAAAACCCAAAACCAATATAAAAGAGTAATCAACCCATGTGCCGCATGTGGTGGTGGCCGAAACGTAGGAGCCTTGTTGCTCTCTGGGGCAGGTTGTAAAGTGATCTGGCTCTATGTCAACTCCACTCAGTGGAGAAGATTGGCCTGTGAGCACACTGATCCTGACATCCACTGGCCCAGGGCCTGTGTAGGGGTCTTCTGTGTGGCACAGCACTGTTCCCTCTGCCAGAACATTTGTCACTCTACATGCGGCTGGTCTCTGACATACCAGTCTCCTTATGAGGCAGGGGTTTCTGAGAACGAGAATCATGTCTTTTTTATTCCCAAATCCCTATCACATACTGTGCTCGGGAAACATTCTTGATAACGGTCTTGACTGTCCAACTCAAGCTGGCAGGCGTTTAGCACCAGAGACTAGAATTATTTCTCTACATGCTGTGCACACTGAGAAATAAAATACTTATTAAAAAAAAGAGTGAACCATAGTCGTTGTCTTTTTGCTCTTGTCATTTCACAGGTCTGTAGACATAAGTGACTGCTACAGTTACACAGAAAAGTCAATCCACACTTGTCAGAGCAGATGAAAGTCCTAACCTAGAGGCTAGGGTTCCGGTTCTGCTGTGCAACTTCAGTGTAGCTTCGTTACCTCTCTGGGGTGAGGCCTCACTTGTAACATTATCTTTGGGTAACCAAAAGCTTTGGGTAACCATCAGCTATGGGGCTCCATCGGAAACCTCACTCATCCTAGCCTCCTCCCTCCACTCCACTGCCCTCAAGAACCTGAGTCTCACGTAGAGGGTGAGTTATAAAGTGGGCTTGAGACTTAAAGACAAAACTGCGCCAAAACAGCCTGTTGGGTCCACGACCTGCCAGGAGCCACGTAGCTGTGTCAAGGCCTGAGATACAAGGCCTTATAAACCAGGCGGAGGAGAGGGGCCCACACAGTCTCACGCGTGCTTCTGGGAGGAGTTGCATGCAATGCTCCCCTTCCAACTATGGATCCCCGCGCCCCGCGCGTGGAGCGAGGACGGCCTCAGGGCCTGTGCCCTCGCTCAGGCTCACCCTCCTCCCTGGAGCGCTGGGGACGGCAGAATGATGGGAGGCGCTGCTCTCCGCAGCACCGCAGCAGGGCCAGTCCTGAAGCGTGCGTGCCGGGCCGGAGCCAGGAGCCCAGTAGGTACCTGGCTGGAGGCAAGAGGTAACAAGAACCTGCCGCTGCAGGGCGCACACGCGCCCAGACCCTGAGGAGGACAGCTGGAAGGCGGGGCAGGGCAGGCGCGCCTCTAGCAGGGGCTCAAGGGCGGGAGAGCGGGGCCCA